ACTACCTTTTGATCCGATCCACCTAAATGGACAAGGACGGATCCCCTTCCATTTTTTTTTTTGTTTAGCTCACTGGATTGGACCTGGAGGTAGGTGGGACACAAGTCCGTTTACACCTGCTTGTACAAAGGTTGAATGGACTATTCGATCAGGTCTGCCTGTCAATTTTTGAGACCTAAATTCAGGGGCCTAAATTTGTAACCAGACAGGCCCTATGTGTGGGTGGGTGAGCTGCAGGAGGTTGGTGTGTATATGTGAGTACCATTTTGGCCCAGATTGGAGAATTGTGCTGTCCATTACCATAACTCATGATAGGAATTGGGCATAGCGCACCTCAGCTGAAAAGAGTGACAACGCTGTAGTAATTTCACTATAAAGCAAAGAATGTGGTCAGCCTGTTGGAGGAAGTGGGATTTGAAGGTTTCTGCTGACAGGGTCACCAGGTGCAAAGGCTATGTTACAGGGAGGATTTTACAAATTAACAATACCATCTTATTGATATGGGCAGCCTGCATAACATCTGATTTCTTCTTTTGACCATAATTTTACTTTACTGTTTTTAAAAAAAAAGGTGTTTCTGTGTATAGTTTATATTTATGCATTTATTACAGGTACTTATATAGCGCCGTCAATTTACGCAGCGCTTTACATATTTATATTGTACGTTCACATCAGTCAATTATATATACTGTAGGAGTAATCATAGTTTTTCATTACATATATCAGTACTACTTTGTACTTGGTTGTACAGCGATTGTGCCTTACTGCTTCTCCTTTCTCAGCATGTCCACAGGCTTCAGTGGGCAAAAGCAGCATGCTTCTGACATCAACTTTAGATGTTTTTGAGATAATTCGGAATTAATTCCAGGTGCAAAAAGTGTTGTAATATATTCTTACTAACCGTTTCCCACCTGCCTTGGTGTCCCTTTAAAAATTTTCCAAAGTCGGGGGGGGGGGGGGGGGGGAATAATGAGTCTGCTGCTATTGGCTTTCACAGTGATCACATAATTGCGAGCCGGTCCTGCTGGCTACTGATCATTAGCAGGGGCCAAGAGCTGTTTTTCACAGCTCAGTCTTTGTGCTGGGAGTGTACAGTGAACATGCCTGCCCAGCAACACATATGTGCAGTTTGTGGTTTCTGCCTCACATATATTGGGTGGTCATAAATGGTTTGAAATATGCTACATGGCTGAATTCCTGTGGGGTTGATTTAAGACATTCTGAAAACCAACCGTTGCCATACTGATTTTTACTTGATGCATAGTATTACCATTTTCGTAAAGGTGCACTCTATTTTATAGACACCACTAGATGACACTCTTGGATAATACATTTTTTGGGTGTATCTTTGGTTGTTGGCAAATCAATCCCAAATTGGAAGCATTTTAGATACGAAGTTCAATTTTTTTTTATTGAGCACCACTACGTCTTTATATATGTACTCCTTGAAAGTGTGTTATCAATATCAATAGATTTTGTGCCCAATCAACTGTTTTAAAAATAATTTCTCAGTGTTTTCATGTGGCTTATCCTGAAGCTTATTTGATCTCAGCAACCATTCAGCAGCAGGACAGCCATTACTGTAGAGGGAGTATTCACCCATTAGTATCAAAAGAAGCCCTAATCAGCTTGAAAAAATATGAGATTCACATCCCTTTCAGGTAAACTATGATATTGGTTAAAATTGTATGCACGCCTTTAGAAAAATCTAAGCAGCATTTTGAAAAGAAAGCTGTTGCTCTTTGTTGAGATCGTGTTTTTTTTCTGCACTGTGTAAGAATTAGAAATAATCACTAAAGCATCATGCAGTTGGTGTTTTACACTCAGCCTCCCTTTATAGCTTTTGTGGTCTATTACATCCGTATTTTATTTAAAATAAAAGGAAATGTGCTGAAGTCCTGGGACCACTTAGAAAGTTGTATTAAGGGCTGATAAGTAAAATCTGCGCCGGTCTAAAAACTTTAATTTATGTTCCCAGCATCATAATTTAATCGGCCTTTAATGGCGTTTTGCGGGTTCCATATGAAAAAGTAATCTTTCTGAATAAGTCCATGACAGAAGAGGCTCAACTTTGTACGGCTATTTTCTCCAGGTTTAATATTGGCCAAAAAAGCCTGCAGTGATTGAGGGCTGAATTAGGATGCAATTGTAACTAAATTCCCGTGGGCGCCATTGCTTCAAATCCAATTCTCTCTTGATATACAATAGATGACGCCTGTAGGATTTCTCTGTGATAAACGGCTAAGCAACCTGTACAGGCGATTGAGAAATAAATGATTAAGCCTAGTAGTTGTAAATAAATAACTATACAGATATATATTTTTTACTCACACATCTCTCCCTCTGGTTAGTAGAAATATTGTAGCCCATCTAACCCCAATGTTCAGGTCTTTAAATTCCAACTTTCATTTAGTAGCCGACAGGTGAAGGCAAGAAGGAACTAGACTGGATGGTAGTTGATGCTTTTAGTGTGTTTGAAAAACATGAATTATGAGTCTAGCAGGAAACACCCCCCTTATGATCCATGGCAACTCCTAGAGTTTAGGTTGTGGGAAAGTCAGGTGTTCTACCAAGGAGCTAAGGTGGAAAAAAAAGTATATACATACATATAAAAACTCATTTTGAACAGAATGGACCAAGTTGCAGTTGGACATCATAAATTAAAGGGTTAGTTCATCTTTACCAAAAAACTGCCTATGCAGGTAAGAGGTGCCTATAGAGAAAAACAAACTGTGCAGCTCTGACTAAAGATTTATAATGCCCTTTCTATAGGTAAAGGCCATTTACATACCTTCTGAAGCCTCTCCTGGAATAATCCCAGGACTTTGCTAAGAGAGGTCAAGTCATTACTGCTCACATTTACCATCACTGGAGTGAGCTCTTATTCAAACCCCCTCACATGCTCTTTCTCTCCCCAGATGCAGTAGCTTTGAGTTCAGCATTTGAGAGCTCGCTCCTGTGATGGTGGAGGTGAGCAGTAATGACTAGGCCTCATTTAGCAATTTCCTGGGAGTATTCCAATAAGGCTTCAGGAGGTACGTAAATGGCCTACACCTATAGCAAGGAGATTATTAAACTTTAGTCAGAGCTGCACAGTTTGCTTTTATCTACAGACACCCCTTAATTGCATAGACAGTATTTTGGTAAAGGTGAACGAACCATTTAAAGTTTATCTAAACCCAAGAACAAAAATGTAATACATGGCAGCTTACCAGTCCATAGCTGCGATGGCTGTATTGGTTTTTATTTTTCAGGCAAAGAACATTTTCAGCAACTAAAAGAAAATACCTGTTGATCTTGCCAGAAATGTAGCATCCAAAGAAAGCACAACAAATCCTTACTAATTCCATCAATCAGCTATGTAGTGGAGATGAACAAAGGCAGACATGTTTTGAAGTCCAGCTTATGTGACAGCCGTGGCTGTCCTAATAGATATAGTGAAGAAAAAAGCATAGACGTGAAAGGACAAAGTGTTTTATGCACTGGATCACCAGGTGAAAATAAAGTCTGAAAATATAAGCTAATAATCTATTTAAATTGTAAGCTTTTATGAGCAGGGCCCTCTTAATCCTCTTGTTTTTTATTGTATCGTAATTGTACTGTCTCTCGTTATATTGTAAAGCGCTGTGCAAACTGTTGGCGCTATATAAATCCTGTATTATAATAATAATAATGAAGCTCATCTAAGGACTGATATGCTACAATATATTACGTTTATGATTTGGGGTTTAAAATATGCTTTAATACCACTTGGTCCAACCGAGTCCTAGAAAAAGCCCCGAGGCAGGCAGAAAAATAATCAGAGACTTTGAAATTGTTCCAGGCCTCTGAGTTAGAAGGGAGGTTTAAAGGATCAGTCTACCCAGACTCATTTTTTAATGTTTCATGTCTACAGTAATGTTAAAGGATAAGTTCACCTTTGGAACATGTTACATGTTATACCCATTTTTAGGTGGAACACGTAACATGCTGCAGCATCTGCACATTCTCCCCCCGATTTCCCCCATGACAGTGGGTTTGGGCTCCCCACTCCCTCTGTCACAGTTTCCTGTGAATGTATAGTGTTTAAGTCCCATCAGCCATTGCGACTGACAGCTTGCAGTTCTCATTGAACTATGAGGGCACTGGTGAGCGCACTGGTAGTTCATTGATTCCTGCTCTCAAGCAACTGCTTGCCTGTACAAGGTACAAGCAGACAGCTATCCTGAATCTGCAGGAGACTGAGATTGCACCTGAAATCTACTGATTGCAGGCGCAGTGCTCTGCAGACTTCTTAGCAAAAAAATAATAAATGCACATTTTTTTATCTGCAAACAAATATGCATTTATTATTTTTTTCAAAAGGAGAACTTAGCATTTAAGCTCTCTTATGATTTCTTGTATCTCCCAAGTGGTGAGATATCTGTGCTTTCGATCCTGGGTCTGCACACCTGCTGTGCCCATTATGAGGGGGATCCAATCTCCCTGTTGGATTTTGAATTTACTTTGGATTATGTAGACTACAACAGGCAAAACACAAAACTCATAGAAGGCAGGGACTGAGCAAGGAACTATGGCAAGATGATCTTAGTAATAGAAATTGGTGGACTGACCCTTTAAAACTGTTGGCTTATAGACCAGCAGTCTCCTTCAACTTGGTAGCATTTTTCTATAACATGGTAATTCTTGACTGTCTCTTAAAATATGCACTTCTCTTTAAAATGATTATCTCATGCGCCGTTCAGCCGTCTCCTGTAATATGGCTCTCTCGTAACTGGGAAGGTTTCTCATGTAACATGGCAATGATAATATCATGTTTGAAATTGGTTTGCGAGTACAAGCTTTACAGGTTTGAGGGTCAGGTTGCATGTACAAGTGGATTCAGTGGCAGCTGCAAGATGGCAGGACATCGGCATGAGTCTACATAAAATCACCTAAAGCAAGCTTTTTTTAAGCATCCAAGGATAGGCAGAATGACAATATTAGAAATCAATAACACGTTTTGCTGGTTTTGATTGCTATGCTACCTCAATTTTTTTTTTTGCTCAGTTTTTTATTGTTTTGTCTTTCAGCTCTGCGGATGTGGATTGCTGGGAGTTGGAATATGGCTGTCTGTATCACAAGGAAACTTTGCAACATTTTCTCCCAGTTTTCCATCGCTCTCAGCAGCAAATCTAGTGATTGCCATCGGCACAATCGTCATGGTGACCGGCTTCCTCGGTTGTCTAGGTGCTATCAAGGAAAACAAGTGCCTCCTTTTAAGTGTAAGTTGCAATGAAATGTAGGATTTTTAATTTGAATTAATAGTTATGTACACATTGTTCAGTTACAGTCATGGCCGAAATTGTTGGCACCCTTGATATTTTTCCTGAAAATCAAGTATTTCACACAAAAAAGGTATTGCATTAACACATGTTTTGCTATACACATGTTTATTCCCTTTGTATGTATTGGAACAAATATAAAACAGAGGCAGAAAAGCAAATATGACATAATGTCACACAAAACCCCAAAAATGGGCTGGACAAAAGTATTGGCACCCTTAACTTAATATTTGGTTGCACACCCTTTGGAAAACATAACTGAAATCAGTCGCTTCCTATAACCATCAATAAGCTTCTGACACCTCTCACCCGGAATTTTGGACCACTCTTCCTTTGCAAACAGCTCCAGGTCTCTCTTATTGGAAGGACACCTTTTCCCAACAGCAATTTTAAGATCTCTCCACAGGTGTTCAATGGGATTTAGATCTGGGCTCATTGCTGGCCACTTCAGAACTCTCCAGCGCTTCTTTGCCATCCATTTCTGAGTGCTTTTTGACGTATGTTTGGGGTCATTGTCCTGCTGGAAGACCCAGGATCTTGGACGCAAACCCAGCTTTCTGACACTGGGCCCTACAGTGCGACCCAAAATCCTTTGGTAATCCTCAGATTTCATGATGCCTTGCACACAGTCAAGGCACCCAGTGCCAGAGGCAGCAAAACAACCCCAAAACATCATTGAACCTCCACCATATTTTACGTAGGTACTGTGTTTTGTTCTTTGTAGGCCTCATTCCGTTTTCGGTAAACAGTAGAATGATGTGCTTTACCGAAAAGCTCTATCTTGGTCTCATCTGTCCACAAGACGTTTTCCCAGAAGGCTTTTGGCTTACTCAAGTACATTTTGGCAAACTGTAGTCTTGCTTTTTTATGTCTCTGTGTCAGCAGTGGGGTCCTCCTGGGTCTCCTGCCATAGCGTTTCATTTCATTTAAATGTCGACGGATAGTTCGCGCTGACACTGATGCTCCCTGAGCCTGCAGGACAGCTTGAATGTCTTTGGAACATGTTTGGGGCTGCTTATCCACCATCCGGACTATTCTGCGTTGCAATCTTTCATCAATTTTCCTCATCCGTCCACGACCAGGGAGATTAGCTACAGTGCCATGGGTTGCAAACTTCTTGATAATGTTGCGCACTGTGGACAAAGGCAAATCTAGTTCTCTGGAGATGGACTTGTAACCTTGAGAGATTGTTGATTTTGCCACAATTTTGGTTCTCAGGTCCTCAGACAGTTCTCGTCTCCTCTTTCTGTTGTCCATGCTTAGTGTGGCACAGACAGACACACAATGCAAAGGTTAAGTGAACGTCTCTCCTTTTTATCTGCTTTCAGGTGTGATTTCTATATTGCCCACACCTGTTACTTGCCCCAGGTGAGTTTACAGGAGCATCACATGCTTGTAACATTCTTATTTATCCGCAGTTGTGAAAGGGTGCCAATACTTTTGTCCAGCCCATTTTTGGAGGTTTGTGTGACATTATGTCGAATTTGCTTTCTTTCCTCCCTTTTTTTGTTTTGTCCCAATACACACAAAGGGAATAAACATGTGTATAGCAAAACATGTGTTAATGCAATACGTTTCGTGAGAAATACATGATTTCCTGGAGAAATATCAAGGGTGCCAACAATTTCGGCCATGACTGTATATAGTTATAGGAAATGGTTAAAAACAGGTGATGATCTTCAGGATGTTTAAGCCCTAGCATGCTGGAGATTAGGTTTGTGCCAAGTCTAGAGGACCACATTCCATTTTGCGTTCTGAACCTGATGCTAGGATAATTCAAATCATTATGCACAAAGGGCATAGTGTAAGAATTCAAGATCCACATCAGTAGTAGGCAGCTGAGGGTCTTGGACTCAAGAGGCAAAGCCTGTGACCTGTTAGATTAGAAGACCTCTCCTCTAAAAAGATTTTTACTTTGCCTTTTGGCTGAAGAACTTTAATGTAGACAACAGATGGCACCCATTAGTGCTGGTCATACACCCTTAGATTATTTTAATTCAGTTTGTGCCCTAAACAAACAAACAAAAAAAAAAAAACAGATTCCTCGATCTATGCTAAATGGCGTGGATAGACAAATACCCTGCTGCCAGCTGTCAGAATAGCTCATTGAATGCCGGTGTTGTTTGGCCGACAATTTTCCACCTCCTTTGATTTTTCAATTGAAGGATGTCAGGGCGGAGTGGTACCGACGGGGCCACCCACTGATCAAATTTCAGCCAAATCATTTGGAACCGCCTTGAAATTCTTTCAGTGTATGTCAAGCTCTAGTATCAAAATTAAATTAGATGACAACCAGCAAGCATGAAAAAGTGTGTGATTTCCAGGAGGGTTTAATGGAGACAGGCATGAATGATGCTAAGACACAGAGGTAAGGAAACAAGCATAGTTATAGTACTGCATATTGTAACCATGTGGCCCAACAACACAGATTCCTATACTATCTGAATGTAAAATTCTTTATCAGTAAAGGTGGAAAGATAAAAAAGTCTTGCTTCTTGTATAGGGGCAGCGCATATAGCCAGAAGGATCAAATGAATGCCTACAGGTGCTGTAAGAAGTAAGGTGCTACCCAGTTTCCTCCATTCACCATTGTGAAAATAATCAGATACGGTGCCATCATCTGTGCCAAGCAGCCCCCAATAAGAATGTAGTCTTCATCCATAGATCCACCTCTTCTGTCTAATAATGTATTCAGATCCATATTACGTCTCATAGAAAAAGTAGCTTGGGGTGCATTGCACCCTGAAAGATGGGCCTGAACAAATATGCTGCCAGACAGACAAAGTGTGCACAAAAGAACAGTAATTTACTGGTGGGTGGTTAATTGACATTTCCCATCCACTGGCTTCTTATACACAACACCAACATCATATGTCTGAGATCCCAGCTCCACCTATTTTTTCCTTGTGAAAAAATCAACAGGAGTATTGATACACTGTGCTGGGGATGGCATATTTGAGAACTATCGTAAGGAGATCTCATTGATGGAGTTTATAAGAAACCAATTGTTTTCATCCATTTGTTTTCCACTCATAAAAGTATAAATGCACATCTGCCTTGGGAGGACTCATCCTTTATGCCAATATAAATGTTTAATAAGTGAGTTTTTTATAACGTGTCATTTTGGGTTGCCATGTTGTGTACATTGACTTTCCTCTTGTTGACTTCTTTTGCAGTTTTTCATCATTTTGCTGATTATTCTTTTGGCTGAGCTAATACTCCTCATCCTATTTTTTGTCTACATGGACAAGGTAAGCTAATAATATGAGTTGCCTATTACAAATAAAATACAAAATCATTCAATATTTACTAGAAAATTGCACTATATCACATTGCTTTTATAGGAGGTTTTCACTTTAGGTAACAGGCTTTTGTAGAGCGAGTCATTCACCGAGCAGCAATCAAGCATAATAAGCACCAATTAGGCAGCTTTAAAATGACTGTGATACTCAGCTCCTTCTAGACATTTACTGGTGTGGTTACAAACATGGTGAAGGCAAGAGAATGGTCCAGGAAGACAAGAGAAGAGGTGATTTCTCTTCACAGGAAGGGCAATGGCTATAAGAAGATTGCAAAGATGTTAAACATACCAAGAGACACCTTGGAAGCATCATTCGCAAATTCAAGGCAAAGGGCACTGTTGAAACGCTACCTGGTCGTGGCAGAAAGAAGATGCTGACTTCGACTGCTGTGCGCTACCTGAAGCGTAGAGTGGAGAGAAGTCCCCGTGTGACTGCTGAGGAACTGAGAAAAGATTTGGATGTGGTACAGAAGTTTCAGCCCAGACAATAAGACGCACACTGCGTAATGAAGGCCTCCGTGCCAGAACTCCCAGGCGTACCCCCTTGCTGTCTCCAAAGAATAAGAAGAGTCGACTGCAGTATGCCAAAGCCATGTGGACAAACCACAAAAGTACTTGTGGGATAGTGTTCTTGTGGATTGAAACAAAATTAGAAACTGTTTTGGATCAACGCTATGTTTTGAGGAGGAAGAACAAGGCCTATGAACCTTGCCTACAAGCAGGTGGAGGGTCAATCATGCTTTGGGGCTGTTTTGCTTCTGCAGGTACAGGGAAGCTTCAAGCGTGTGCAAGGTACCATGAATTCTCTTCAGTACCAGGAGATATTGGATGGAAACGTGATGCATCCGTCACACACCTGAGGCTTGGGAGACGTTGGACCTTTCAACAGGACAATGATCCCAAGCATACCTCCAAGTCCACTAGAGCATGGTTGCAGAGGAAAGGCTGGAACATTTTGGAGTGGCCATCGCAGTCACCAGACTTAAAATAAATCCGATTGAGAACCTCTGGTGGGGACTTAAAGAAAGCAGTTGCAGTGCGCAAGCCTAAGAATGTGACTGAACTGGAGGCCTTTGCCCATGAAGAATGGGCGAAGATACCCGTAGATCGCTGCAAGACACTTGTGTCAAGCTATGCTTCACGTTTAAAAAGCTGTTATAACTGTAAAAAAGGATGCTTACTAAGTACTAAGATTGAATGTCACTTGGGGGTTTGAATAAAACTGATAATGCTGATGAGCACAGAAAAGACATTTGGGGTTATTTCATTATAACTGTTTATGTTATATTTGTCCTGACCTACAAGTGCCTCTTTAATGTAAATGTAAGCAAGATTGACTGAATGATCAAAAGCAATGTCAAACTGGCCAAAACACTCAATTTCAGTGGGGGTTGAATAATTTTGGTCACAACTGTAGCATCCACCAAAAAATAGTAGAGCAGCCACTCTCCAAGAAGCCAAGCAAATCCTTTCATTTGACAGGTCCCCAACATCTAAAAGCCAGCATGGACACGTAGGCTAACTTTGAGAGGTATTTGAAGGTAGAAAAAAAAGTCAAATGCTCCTAAAAGTGGTATTTTTAATGCCCAGTGTGCAAGAGGCCTACAACTGCTTTAATACTTTGTATATAAGAATATCCAACAGGAAGAGTGATAATGGTCATACTGGGTGGATGGACTTGGGAACTTGGGTATAGAAGTCTCTCCTATAAGGTCACCAGGAGATCTACTGAACCTAGGCCAGAGTACTGCAGATCAGTAATGTAAATCACTGCCTTTTATTACAAACCTGTACTTTGCACATATAGAGGAAAACAACAGGTTCACAATGCTTTCCGCCTCAATAGCATATACCAGGACTAAATAAAATCCTGGCTATGAAGAAGCATGTGGCTCACTCCTCTTCTTCTTATGGGACATGGCTGGTGCTTGGTGATTGGCTCAGTGCTGTCATATGGGGAAAGAGCCTTCAGCCCTGCATAAGCTCAAACTAGAGTGTATCAGATCATTTCAAGGGGGTCTTTCATCAGCCCCCTCTGGCTGCACAGAGCAGACGGTCATGAGCAAAGTACAGGTCTGTTTTAAATCCTCCTCTACAAGATCTGTCTCCCACAGACACAGATGTTTAATACTCTCAAACACTGGACTCTTGATAACACATTCATGAAAAAAATACATATTTTACTCAACTCACAATGGTTCAGAATAACAAACAGCTGTCTCCGAAATAGTTCAATTGATTTTTTTTTGTTCAAAGTGATGACATTGAATAGTAAAATTATGTATTTTCAGAGGATTTTCTGTGCATTAGCAAGAATTAGAAAAGAATGGAAGCTGTCTATAAAAATTGAAGTGATTCCACTAATGTTGCTGCAGGATAGTTTTGCTTCTGGATTCTCTTGATGGAGCATGTCATATTTCTGATTAATAGTTGGTTAGTCATGTAAAATATTAGACAGATCATCAATACCGTTCAACAATATACAGTGGGGAAAATAATTATTTGATCCCCTGCAGATTTTGTACATTTGCCCACTTACAAAGAAATGAAGGATCTATAACTTTTATCACAGGTGTATTTTTAAATGACAGAGACAGAATATCAACCAAAAATCCAGAAAAAACACATGATACAAATGGTATAAATTGAGATGCAGTTCAGTGAGTAAAGTAGGTATTTGATCCCCAAGCAAAACATGACTTAGTACTTTGTAGAGAAACCCTTGGTGGCAAGCATAGAGGTAAGATGTTTCTTGTAGTTGGTTACCAGGTTTGCACACATCTCAGGAGGGATTTTGGTCCACTCTTCTTTAAATCCTTAAGGCTGTTACTTGGCAACTCAAAGTTTTAGCTCCCTCCATAAATGTTCTATAGGATTAAGGTTTAAAGATTAGGCCACCCCATGATGTAATGTGCTTCTTCTTGAGCCACTCCTTTGTTCCTTTGGTGGTATGTTTTGGGTTATTTTCTTATTTTCATGCTGGAAGACCCATCCACAACCCATCTTCAGTGTTCTGGCTGAGGGAAGAAAGTTCTCATCCAAGATTTTACAATACATGGCTTCATCCATTGGCCCCTCAATGAGGCAAAGTCAGCCTGTACCTTTAGCAGAGAAACAGCCCCAAAACATAATGTTTCCACCTCCGTGCTTGACTGTAGGGATGGTGTTTTTAAGGTCATAATGAGCATTTTTTTTCCCCCCCAAACATGGTGAGTCAAGTTAGTGCCAAAGTGCTCAATTTTGGTCTCATCTGACTACAGCACTTTCTCCCAAGCCTTCTCTGAATCATTTAGATGTTCTTTGCCAAACTTTAGACGAGCCTATACATGGGCCTTCTTGTGGAGGACCTTACAGGCACTGCAGGATTTCAACGCATGGCAGCGTATTGTGTTACCAAAGGTTTGTTTGGTGACTGTGGTCCCAACTGCCTTGAAATCATTCACAAGCTCCTCCCATGTAGTTCTGGGCTGATCCCTCACTTTCCTCATGAACATCCTTGCCCATGATGGGAAATCTTGCATGGAGCTCCAGACCAGAAAGAGCAATGATGGTTATTTTGTATTTCTACCATTTGAGAATAATCGCTCCAACAGTTGTCTCCTCTCACCAAGCTTTTGTTGATGGTCTTCTGGCTCATTCCAGCCTTGTGCAGGTCTACAATCTTGTCCCTGATGTCCTTTAACAGCTCTTTCGTCTTGCCCATGAGGTTTGAATGGAAGAAAGAAATTCTATGGACAGGTGTCTTTTATATATATGAAAAGTTGTTGTTAGGAGCACTGAGCAATTGACAGGACTAATCTGTGTACCACATGAGCACATAGCCAGTTTGTGGGAGCCAGAATTATTGTTGTTTGGCAGGAGATCAAATACTTATATTAGTCGCTGAACTGCAATTCAATTTATAACATTTGTATCATGTGTTTTTTCTGGATTTTTGGTTGATATTCTGTCTCTATAATTTAAAATACACCTATGAAAAAAATGATAGCCCCCTCATTTCTTTGTAAGTGGGCAAACTTACAAAACCTGCAGGGGATCAAAAATTATATTCCGCACTGTACAGTACATGACATTGTATCTCCATCAATCTTTAGTGGTTTTTAAAGTATAGGTGTTTTTCACCTCAATGCATTCTCTGCATAAAGTATAAAAAACCCCACTATTTTCTCCCCCCAAACACTTGTCTCCACTTGACTAGTCCTCCACTGATCCACTGCTTTGCTCGGCTGCAGGTCTTCTCTCCCCTCTTTCTGATCCTACAGGCCTCACTGAGAACAGTGAGAGCCATTGGCTCCTGCTGTCATCAGTCAAATCATATGAGAAGGGAATGGGAGACATGGCCAAAATGTGCTATGTGTGTCTTTAGATGCACAGAGTCCGACTCCGGAGTATGCCTGCAGCAGTGCTCCCACAGCAGCCAGCTTGCTGAGTGGGTACACATAAGGATAGGAGAGCACCAGTGGAGGGCCGCTAAAGTAGAGGCAAGGAACCGCTCTGTGCAATGTCACTGCACAGAGCAGGCAAGAATAATCCTGCACATTTAAATGCAAGCCAAGCTGTCCAGTGAAAAGCACCAGTGACAAGGGCTAAAATAAACTATAATGCTGCCATGGGTGCTTGAAGAATTACAGCATATCTAAATCCAGAAACAAAAATGGTATATATTGCAGCTTATCAGTCCTTAGCTGAGGGGGCTGCATTAGCTGTATTTCTTTTAAGATTTTTTCCTTACAATCCTGTGAATAGCATACTTTCATTCAAACACAGACTACCCTTACTCACTCCAATGTATCTACGGAAGGAACCATGCTTGTCATCCAGGCTGGACTTCAAACATGTATTAATCTCCATTACATGAGGCTCGTTAGTAGTTTACAGAAGAATATAAGATTGTTAGAGCTTTCAGTTCATCTCACAGGAGGGGGCAAGGACACTGCATTTCTGGCAAGG